CGGTTATAAAACCTAAATACATAAATGAGCCTGTAAAAAGAGGGGTAAGGTAAAGTCTTGTCAAAAATACTACTGGTAGATGAAGAGGTCCTAAGAAAAAGAATTGAATTAGGAGATATCGTTAAAAGAAAAAAATGTAAGAAATCTGATATCTTATATTTCAGTGCATACTGTTTGTTGTTGTAGTAATCCTTGTATTTTCAAACTAATAGTGCATTGGCGACTGTCTTCATGACAGTCAAGATTTTTTTGTCAAGTTGATTTTTATTTACTGACAATCACAACTGATCTATAAGTAGCTCTGAATTCTGGGAACCTAGAGGAAAATCTGGCAGGTAATAGTAGTTTTCTGGAATCACATATTTAGATATGGGGGAGGCTGTGGGAGCAGCTCTCTGGCCACAGAGCATTGTCCTGGGGAAGGCTGTGAGAAGATAGAGAAAAGAATGGTAAACAATTCTTATTTTCACTTGCTGCACCTGTTGGTGTGAACATGTGGAATGTGTATGGAGATTTGTTTACCAAAGGGTGGTTTCTTAATTGGCCATTGGTGGTGGTGTTGAGATTCAAGGACCAGTTGGGTCCACCTGTATCGTGCCTGTCTGTAAGGGCGATGGGTTTCTTAATAAGTACAGGATAACAACGTGGTTGATCAGCCTTCTGAGAAGCATGGAGTCAATGCTATTACCTGGCTAGGGGCCTGCAATGACAGGAGGTAAATTTAATTGTTACTTTACCAAACTATCGATACTAATTTTTTGAGAGTGGTTATTGCATTTTTTTCTAAATCAAATTAATATGAAAATCACTGTTATTCAGCTGTAGTTTTGGAAGTGATTTGATCTAAAGAGGGGTCTTCTTTACTGGGAGTTCTTTCTGTGGGGTAGGAGATTAAATTACATTTTTTGAAGAGCTACATTGTTTTTAAATTGTAGGACATTGAAAAAATAAAATTAAAACCAGGATACATTTTACAACAGATTATGACCTGCCACTATTTGAAGAAAATACTAGTTTGCCTTCAGAGTTACAGAACTTCTCATTTTGGAAATCTATAGGCTAACAATCTATTTCTCTTCAGTATGGTCTCATTTAAAACCCTGCTAAAGAAAGCAAAGGAAAAAAAATCACATGGACAAATTTAGAAGTTCACAAATGCCAAGTGGGAAGGCTTCACAACTGTTGTAAATTGGATGTTTGCACATTAGAGTGTGAATGCTGATTTTAACCTTTCAGTCGGGAATTTTGTATGCTGTGTAATTGACAGGTGAGAGCTATATTCCCTTATTAGCTTCCCACCTCTGTTACTTCCTAGGCACAAGACTAGACAGGGGTGAGAAACAGAACATCAGTAATAGAAACCAGGAGCTGGAAGTAGGATGAATGTTGGTGAAAATTGGAGCTATTGCTAAATCCTGTTTGCTTTGATACATGTAACAGCTCACTTGGAAGTCAAACTGTTCCATGCATGTTTAGGGATTTTGCCTCGCTGTGATGCTTTTGAGTCTATGTGTTTTGTTCAGTTGATGCCTGTGATATTTGTGCCAATATTTGGTGCATTAATACATTTCTGGCACCTTACAGATTGTCATTGTATGTGCAATACTCCATGGAGCAAATGTGCTTTAGGTTGCTATTATCATGTCGTTTGCCCTGTCTCTAAGGAAGTACCTGTGGGGGGTGTACTGCAGACCAGAGGCTCAGCCACTTGATGTGTATGTAGAGAGGATCAGCTAACAGTTCTGTATCTCTCAGAAACCATCCACTCAACAATGCTTAAAATACTAGTTTTTATAAATTTTCAGAGGGTTAAAAAATAAAAATTTAATTTTGGAGCAAGAGAATAAAGCCCTGTATGTTTATATAAATGTCCTATGCAAAAGTATCCCTTGGTTGTGCTTCAAAGGGATGTGTCTGTAGTACAATTGGTGGCTGTGATGAAAAGCTTTTGTCTACGTTTTCTTCCCTTAAAGCACCATTGATCACTGATATTTCTGCCATACCAATACAATTTCACTCTCCTGTTTAAAATAAATAGCTTGCATTTCAATTAGGATATATGTTATTTTTTAAATATGTGCAGTATTGATTTCAAGTTTTCTAAGCTGTGAGAAATAGACTACCTGCTCTGCTTGATTGCTTCCACCTTGCATTTATTGCTGAACATTTTTTTATTTATGGTAAGAGTTTGCAACTATGTGAAGGAGCAAGGCTGTGCTTGTATGCAGTGCTTATTCTGGCCTATTCCAATGAATTATTTCCACTCACTGGAAACTCTCCTGTTGCTTTCCATGCTACTAATTTTATTGACAGTTATAGTCAAATATGAGTATTAAGTATTGGAATTCTTGATAGTTAAAACCAGGTTTGGAATTTTTTACATTTATCTGTAGCATCTATGTTTTCTAAATCCAGCTAGAACAGTCCCCTAAGAAGAGACTTGCTTACCAGTTTGCAGCTACACATTGCTCTTTCCTACAATCAAAGAAGAAAACAAGGGAGACGAGGTTTATACATTTTTCAAAGTCTGTAGATTTTTGGTGTTGAGTTAGCTGTTTTAGCAAATGGATTTATTGCTGAGGTCTGCTAAGTAAAGGGGAGGTTTGCAATTTTAAAATTCATTAATAAAAAGAGTGTTATAATATTGGATTTGTGTTGAGACAAATAAAACAAAGGCTGTCTCTGACAAATCTAGGCATTCATTTTAAACATTTATTTGAAACACATTTTGTGTTTTAAACATCATGAGTTACAGATAAATAATGGCCAGTTTTACTGAAAAGATAATTTTATGTTGTTATTTTTCATTTCCCCTTTAAAAAACTTTTGAGATAAAGACACTAGTTTTCTCAATTATCACTGTGGTTGCTTTCCATGAGGAGGTTGGAGGAGATATTAGAGAAATATGCAGCATGTTTAGATTAAATATTTAATGCTTTAAAAATGTTTGATTTTGATTTGTCAGTAGTGAAAAAACAGTGTTGAGCATAATTTTTATTCATTATGTATTATGTTAGTATAGGAGATGTGTTGATACATTGGTAGTGTAGGATTTATGACAAGACTGTAGGTAAAATGTTCTGTTTGCTGTTTTGTTGCCAAACTTGACAAGAAGCAAATATAAACTATCAAATATCAATATAGGTGGGAATTTTTTCTCCCATAAAATCCAACATGTAGTTGTTGGTGGATCTGCTGATCTTGGAATTACTGCCTTAGCTGAAGAGTTAAGAGATCCACTCAAGGGTCTTGGGTTCAGTGTAATAGGGGGGGATGGAAATGAAAAATTCCCAAAGGCTCAAGCTGCTCACTCAGAGCTTCCCTGGCAATGGGGGAAGTGCTTGTCAGCTCAGTACAGGTAACTTTCAGTTTGATGTACAGGCAATGATGAAGTTGTCACGGGAAGAACAAGGTGAGAGTCTGGGCTTAGTTAGCACAGGTAGCTGTTGTTTCAAATGAAGCTCTGAGACAAGTGCCTCAAGTCTCCTTGTGAAGGACTGAGAGCTTTCAGGAGTTGTGTGCAGCAGGCAATTGTTAGGTGCTGTTTGCAGAGACGCTGGGGGAGAGAAGCTCAGGATTGCCTTTGGTTATTACCCTATTGAGATGAGTGTCTTCACCACATGACAAATACCTGTCTCACAGTCATAAACTGTCAGGCTTTGTCTGAGGGCCAGGACTACTACCTGTTTCATCAGCTACACCAGCCTCTTCTTTCTTCCAATACTTGTCCTTCCCAGCAGACTTACCAGGTTTCACACTTGTGAGATGCTTTGCCAATGAGAGGTACTAGTAGAAACATTTTGAATTTTTGTAGTATGTTAGGTAGGTCTGTCACTGTATGTGTTGTAATCTGTGAAAACAATGTATTTTGGGAATGATTTGCATTTTCTTGATGCTGGTGAATGCACATGAATACTTAGATGTAAATTAAAGAGAGCAATTTGCATTTAGAGGGAAAAATGTAGGAACACTTGCTTCTGCAGTGTTTTGCAGTGATTTAAACGCATCCTGGTTCACCAAATGTGAGGTTGTATTCTGTGTTGAAAGATGTGCGATAATGCATTGCTTCATAAACTGTCTCACAGATTACTTTAACCATTAGGAGAAATTGATCCTTACACTGATTTTTCCATATCACAACCTTTGTGTTCTTCATAAAGTTTGCTGTAGTCAGAAATATCTAATTCCTTTAAACTGATACTGTGTTGTTCTAAAAGTATTTGAGCCACTACTCTTTTCCCACCTCTCAAACTGACTGTGGTGTTACTTAAGAGAAATGAAATGGCTTTTAGGATTGGAGTACATGTGCTGAGAGACTTAGCCAAGAGAACAAATTTGGAGTTTGAGGTTTAGGTCTCTTCAGGTTTTTTTTTCTTCTTTTAATTAGTGAAGAAAATGAAAGCATACTCTTTAAAACTTCTGTGACATTTACTGTAATTTCAGTTATTACAGTAACTAGCTGCTTTACATGCACTTAATAAATTATTTATAAGTTGCTTGAATAAATTTTTGCTCTTAATTACTTGTTTTGGTTATTGCTCATGTTAAACATTTTTGCTAACCCGTGAGTAACTATGAACTTAAATACATAGCAGCTCTCACTGTTTCTGATTAAGTATGTTGATCAGTGCATGATTAATGACACTCCTGTTAAATGTATGGGTAGATGTGTACCTGTGCATCCACATGTTTGAGATTTCCTGTGCCTTCAGGTGGACAAGTAGTGAGTAGTGACATCACCTGAAATTTGTGCAGCTTATTTCTGCATAAGCTGTGATACAGTGTTTTTCACTTTCCATTGAGTTGACTTATCTTAGAATTAGGTGGAACCTCGGTGAAAATCAGACCTTATATATGAATGTTCAAATTCCACCCAACGCCAAAAAGCATTTTTAGTTAATGAAAAGTGCTCTGTTCTTAAATTTCCACCTCTTTGTTTCCTATTTTATTTTGTTTGTTTTATTTTGTTTTGTTTTAATTTTATTTCTATTTTTTTTTAGTGAGTGACAGTTGCTTCAGGAACCTTGCCGAGGATCGTAGTGGGATAAACCTTAAAGATCTGGTCCAAGACCCTTCTTTGTGAGTATCTGGCTCTTATTGCTAAGCAAAGAAAAGCTTCTTCCTGAAGAAGCTCACCCTTGTGAGTAGTTTTGTAATTATATAAAGAAGTAGTATGATGAAGTACACATAAAGCTTTAGTGGTTTATGTTTGCAAATTGTTTAATACAAGCAAGAATTATTAAAACCACCTTGCTTCTAATATAATTCTGAAGTAACATCCAGAGAGCACATACAGTAAAGGGTATAAGAGTCATCAGAGGTAACAGATTGTGCATGCTGGTATTTCTACAGGGGACTTGTATGTGCATTGTTGCCCCTGTTTTTTTTAAAGAGGAATTGCATATAAATTAGAATATTACTGGATAATTATGTTATTGTCAATTACCTTAACATCTAGAATCTGTTTTCTTTGTATCAGATTTCATACAGCTGATGTGTTTCTTTCTCTACTACCTGTTTCAATTTAAGTATATGTGCCCATGGTCTAAATTTTGCTTCACCACAAGACTGCTGGTCTTTATCTCAGTATTGTATCTTTCTCTAAAATAAAATATAATCTCATGAGCTCTGAGCCAGACTCAAAATTGTATCAGACCTTCTTTGTACTTCAGTTTTTTGTTTGTGTTTTTTGGGTTTGTGGGGTTTTTTTCTCATCCATTAACTTTAGTACTAGCTGAAAATATTCTTGCTAGTGTGTGAATGTACCACTTGTTATGAGGGAAGGGTAAAAGAGAAAAAAAAAAATCACATCTTTTTAACATAAATGACAGTGATTCCACGTGGAGCTCTAATGTGATGGTCCTTGATGCTGAAAGAGCAGATTTTTCCATATTGATTGAGAAGTAGTGAAAAATAAGGTGTATTTGGCATCTTATTTCAGTTACAGGGGTTTATAGTAATTAGGTAGATGCAGAATTTGACATGTTCCTACAGGTAAATGACATATATGTACATGCATTCTTGAGCAATTCTGACATAGTGTGTGTAACTGATGATTTATGCTTCTAAAATGATAGAGGTACAAGGGGCAAGTGTAGTTGTTGCTTGATATGTACAGAGTGAATGCAATGGATAAGTTTTTAATAGTTATTGTTTAATTTAGTTATTGTTTATTTATAAGTGTTAAAGTCAGGGCTATTTTAAAGGTCTTAATTTGCAAAATTTTTCTGTTGAGTGGTATTTTTTTGTATTTTTGATTGGTTGGTTTGCTTTGTTGATTCTTTTTTGTTTGTTTGCTTTAGAATTGTATGTGGGTTTTGGAGCTGCAGGTAGGCTTACATGCTACAGATAGTTTTGGGCTTGCACCTCTTGAGTTTATTCTCAGAAGGTTGAATTGCCTTTGTTGTAGAGCGATTATTTTCTGTATTTTTTACCAGAAGTTATATAATCTTTTCATTTTCTTCCTTGACTGTAACTCACATGAAGAATATTGTAATAAAGTATTGTAATGTTCAAAAGAAATTAAATGGCTTTCTGTTTCTTATAGCATAAGAAGCACAAGTGACTGCAACATAGCCATTTTTGTCACTTTGAAAGACTGAATGAACTCTCAATACATGTTAGGTTTCAAGGGCTGCTTATGATACTTAGCTATATGACAGATTACAGTGCAAGAAAAATTTCCTCTTCCTGACAAATGATAGGAATGTATAGACTTGGGTTTGTCTTTCCAAATTGATATTTTTGCTGTTTTATCACTGAGCACCTATGAAGAGTTCTTGCAAAATGTGTAATAGTGGGAGTGAATCTCCAAAATGAAGAAATCATCTAAAGCAGTATTGCTCAACCTAGCCTTCTGTAGGTGACTCTTAAGGTCCCATGGGATCTGAATTCTTTGTTATGCAAAGGACAGCATTGGGATGAAGCATGGGAGTGCCAAGCAAAGATTAAATCTTTGTTTTAGTCTTTTTTTTGAAATAAAGAATAAAGTTTAAAATCTTATGCCTATTTGGCTATGATTGATGCCTGTAATAATACCTGCAATCGTAAAATAGCATTTGATTAATCCTCTTACCCATTTAATATTTACACTTTAGGACTACTTCAGTGCTCATTTGTGCTAATTGTACATGCACTGCTTCCTTTTCTTTGTAACCTCAGATGCAAGCATTAGACTTATATAAAAAATTCTCATGCTTTCTCTGCAAATGGCTCTGTCCCTCTTAGTTTGCCACTCTGGCTCTGCAACAGACAACTTATCTTTTGTTACTGCAGAAGGCCTTCTTTTTTAGACAGCTGAAAGTGTGTCTTTACATTGAAATGAAACTCTATAAAATAGACAGCATTGTTGGTTTTTTCCATTAATGTTTGATTTATATGAAGTATGCCTAATTGTCAGAGTAGCCTTTTTCCCCAAGTGATTTCCCAGCTGGAGAAGGACTGTAAACTTAATCTGCTTTCAATTCTCTCAGCAATGCTAATAAAAGCTCTGCTGCTCAAATCAGTAGTTTGATCACCCATACTTGTATGTGATTAACTCACAATTTACTGTGTATCAATAAAACTGAAAATTCTGCTAAAGGAAAAAGAACCCGAAACACCAAGCACATCAAATAAACCTGAAGTGAGGAGTTAAAGGTTGTGGGAAAGGGAAGCAGGCAACAACTTTAAAATTAAATTTCATTTAGTGGTTAATTAGAGAAAATTTAATTTCTGCAAAAAGTTGATCATTGTTCAGCTGTAAAGGTGGTTTGAGAGTTAAGTAAGTAAGTGCTGTTTTTTATTCATTGCAGATGATCACAGAATAATGTGGGTTGGAAGGGTCCTTCAAAGGTCACCTCCTACAGTGAGCAGGGATGTCTTCAACTTAGATTGGGTTCCCTGGAGCTCAGGGATATGTCTGCTATATACAGTGTTCTGTTTTGGACACCAAACTCAGAGATCCAGAGGTGTGTAAAAGAAAAGAAAGAGGAGAAGACAGAAAATGCAATTGTATGGCAGGTTATTTAATTGAGGAAACAGTGTCAAGAGAGGAAGTATGAGTTCTACAGTATATAAAAGATCATTGAAGGGTTTGTTCTGTTTGCCTGGCAAGAAAGAATAGTTCAGTTTATAGTAGACAACATGGATTGGATATTTGAAAAAAATTCTAAATGTCAGTTGGTGAAGAACCTGGACTCTATAGCTAAGGATGTCAAGGAGAGTTCTGCAGATTATAGTGTACATATTTCATCCAGTGTAAGTGTAGAGAGCTGGAAGGGCAAACCTTTTTTTTTTTTTTATTTCCTTCATTTTTTCTTTTTCCTTTTCTTTTATGAAAATGTATGCATTTTGGTTTGTCTTCTGTGTAATTAATATGACCAAAAACCAGATGAAACTTAATTTAGTTCCTGTAAAGGTAACTTACTGTGGCTATGAATATTCAAATCCCATGATTTGGTTTAGATGATGCCCTACCTACCATTCCAGTTAATCACAAAATATAAAGTGTTTGATCCTACAGAGGAGGTTATTCTCCATGAGAAGACTAGAGGTGTTTTTCCTTTCATTGTCCTAAACAGCAGACCTGCAGAGAGCAGGTGCAATTGGAGGAACTAGGCTGCCGGTTCTTACATGATGGTTCAGACTTTATTCAGCTGAAGTAAAATGCAGTGAAACAACTTAAGACGCTAGCAAAGTCCTGCTTTTGTGGGGAGATGTTTGAGGCTCTCTAGCAAGGCAAAAGGCTGGTGATCAAGGAACGTTAAAGATACTGATGAGTTCATTTGACCCCTTGCTCATGAGCAGACTGAGTGGTGTGCACTCCTCTGTCTTCTTTTCCACCCTCAATAGCTAATCTGTGCTCAGGAGAGAAATGGGGTAGATACAATGCAATTTGTCTCTCACCTGAAACTTCTCCTGAGATTTTTACTACTGCTTTTCTTTTCGCACTAGAAGTTACTTAAATACATCTCAAGAGTGAACCATCAGATCATTAGAATGTTAGGTATATAGGTCCACCTACTTCAAGCAGAAGTTCTATGTGTAGAGATTCTGAAGTTTTAGTTCTTAGCATCACTTGATAAGATGTTCCTTTTGGCTCTAGCCTGTATCTATATACATATATACATCTATATCTATACACAAAGTTCATAAAATACTTGTCTAAACAGAAAAGAGGATGCTTTTAATCTTTCTGTGCAATTCAGTAGCTGCAGCTGCAGATAATCACTGATGCATTTGTTTTGGAAACATCTTCAGAGCTTCTTTGAGATGGACAATATCCAAGAGATTCTTAATCACTTCTTTCTAGGCAAAATCACATCACATCTAACTGTGTTGCATGTCTCCTTCAGACTGATTATGAGAGCAGATAAATATAAAACGTAAGAACAGGTAACTTTTGATAGGAAATTAGAACTTGTTTTAATGAGTGTGTACTACAGAGAAGAAAACATTGTGAGAAGAAAATGTTATTTACCCTCAATGTAATTGCATTAGAAAGACAAGCAAAATGGTAATAGACCTATTAGTAAGAAACTTGTGGATTATTTCTGAGTTCCATTTTTCCGTAACAGGAGATAGAAATCTCACAGAAGTCATCTTTATCCCTTATTGTATTTTACAGCCTTAGAAGGAGGAGCTAGGTAAATCTTCTGGGAAGAAGTTGTGAGATCCTTAGAATTTGTCACTTAAGGACTGAAGATGATAAAGGAATTCTTGAGGAGCTCTATTTTTTTTTTTTTTTAATCTTACTGAGCAGGATGAAGCAAATACCTGGAGGGAACAGCAGTGGATATTGTCTGCTTTGGGTTCAGCAAGGCTTTTGGCACTGTCTCTTACACCATCCTCATAGGCAAAGTCAGGAAATGTGGGCTGGATAAGTGGACACTGAGATGAATTGGGAACTAGCTGAACAGCAGATCGCAGAGGGTTGTAATCAGTGGCACAGGGACTAGGTGAAGGCTATCACTGGTGGTGTCTTTTAAGGGTCAGTGCTGGGCCCATAATTCTTTACCTTAATTCATTGATTTATTGGATGAAGGGGAGATCCCTCCTCAGCAAGTCCACTGAGCACACAAAGCCTTACCGATTCTGTG